TTGTTAAATTGCAGTGTTAATTGGTTGGTGTTGTGTTGCTTAAGCCCCGCCTCCGCGTAACGACTGCAGAGTACGTTCTACTTTCTGTGGTCTCGCCACCAGTCACTCGATCTGTACGGCTTCTTTTCGCACATTAAAGGTAAGCTAAATATCCATACATGACTATTGTTTCGTTGGAAATGTGCTTTTTAGTTTGTGACTTAAACAAATGCACTATATTTAACCCATTTTGCATGGAAAATTAATCAAATTCAAGGTCCCGCCGTTTTGCCAAATCTAGGCGAACGGTAAATTTGAATTCTCTTATATTTGGTAAGTTATAGTTGTCATTTTAAACCATGAATAAGCGGTATTATTTGAAATATTGGCGATGTGTGCATAAAAAAAGCTAACATTGCAAACTGCTTGCCTCCGAGAGGATGTGGGGATTTTTTTTATTCCCTCTCGAAGTTGTTCGTTACGTCGAGCAATAAAGTGTTGCTAGGTAAGGGTAAAGCTAAACTTTTGAGAGGGAACGCAAAAGAGAGCGGAAAAAAGATCCTCGTGTCTCCTTGAGGGCTCCGTAGACTATAGCAGTAGCAAAGCAAGAGTGTAAAAAGTCACGTTACGGCTAGCCGCTAGGGAAGCGGACTCTGGCTAGCTAACTAGCTCAAACACTCTAGCTAATTCTATATAGCGGACAGAGCTAACGTGTTCAAAGTGTTAGTAGAAGTGATAAAGGGTTGGATTAAAATATCTGTAAGGTGTCAAAACTTCGACCGTGTCCTTTTTTTGTTATGCAGAAATGCTGGTTCAAGTGGAGTATCAGACAGTCCAAAAATGGGTTCGGGTTCCAGTGACAGATGACTGCTATGATTACTTGAAATTCATGCAAGAGGGTAAGTTGAGTACTAATTATGTTGTTGTGGCAGCTGGCATTAAATGAAGTAAGCTTAAGGTAGTTTCTTTATCTGAAATCATGTCCAGAATGCTTATTATTTTCATAAAAATGGTCATGTCAAATTTTGGTAAACTGTCTGCCAACAATATGGGCAACATTAAAGATGTACAATTTCAACCACCAGTTCATTGTCTGAAAATATTATTTGAAATATTTTCTATTTATGAATGTAATTGGCCCTTACCAGTTCTAACCATATGCTATAAATTAGCATGTTAAGATGAGTATTTTTGTTTTCTTCCAGTTCATGCTAAATTCAATTTGGCAAGTGACATCTGTGTAGACCTAAAGGACTCTTCTGGAGTTGATGTGGATGCTGATATTTTTGATGAACTCCTGAGGTCTGCTACAGTATCTTTCAAAGTAGTCACTAAGCACTTTGGTAAGATTTAAAAGCATTAAAACAAGTGTTCCTTCTAATGCATTTTAAAAACATATAAATCAAAAGTTCATTTTAAGTTGTTTACTAATGAGTCTTCTAAACTTTATACAGGGGGCGTCGTTGACGAGAGTGAGGTAACAGACGCTTCCTTCAGTTCTGAAGATGGGTCAGCCTCGTCAGTTGAATCTCCAAGCTCAAGCTCATCTTCTACAGTGATCACAGAGAACACCAGAGCACAGAGAAGACGACTGGCTGAAGGACCACCTGACAGTAAGATGGCAAAAGATGTAAGTTGTGTCAAGGTGGGAAATGGAATGATGATCCATTTTAAAATTCATAGCAGGATGACATGTGAAATCTGTTGCAGATTGTCTATGTAGCTCTGCACCAAAAACCAGGGGGAGAAGATGTATTAAAAGAATACAACAAGACCAAAAGTCTCTCTGATCCAACAAGAAGGAAACTTGTCAATATTTTAGTGGCGGATATGATCGAAAGTCATGGGTATGTACCAATAAACCTCAACCTGCTGATTGGGGGCCAGAATTTAACCTTGATATTTTTGACTGATGGTACTTTTAAAAGTTAAACACATACATGTATGAAATCCATAGAAATGTTAGAATAATTTGAAAACACATAATTATTAACATAATGATTATTCAAATAATTTGTAATTACTGAGAATGAGTTTTCTATTCATAACCTTTGCTTAATTGGTGTGAGTTTGTTTAACCCCTATGTGAAACATGAATATTCTTATTGAATTGTTTTTTTAGGAGAGTCCCTCCTGTCAATGTCCGCATTACCTATGCCCTGGGAATTGTCACTCTCTTTCCCAATTTGAAAGATAATTGCTCACCAACTGGCTACATGAGTACCTGAAGATTCTCTTCTTGGGTCATAATCTATTTGGATTTCGATCTTTTTTACAATGTCAGTTACCTGTGTAATTGTCCTTTTGAACGCAATATAATCAACATTTTGTGTTTTCTGTTCTGTGATAGGAGCATTTCTATGATCCTCAAAGTGGACAGGGCTACCTGGCCTATCGATTGAAAACAGTTCAGCGTAGCACTGTAAGTGACTTCAAGAGGAGCTCCAGGTCTGCTCATGAAGGTGGCCCGAAAACTCAGAGGGAGACCTCAACATCTGAACAGCTGTTTGGTGATGGATGTAAAGAAGCAATGTCCATAATGAAGCATGCATCAGACCAGGACATTGTTAAGGAGAAAATGAAGGCAACATTTAAGCATAGACAGAACATGCTACATGATCTGGACCAGTCATCACTCATCTTGGATCACTTCCCAAGATTCTTGGATACACCAGGCTTGGTGAGAAAGTCTCAGATTTGATTAACTGAACTTTTGAATTGGGTTTTGATGGTATTTTTTCTTCTGCTAGATTGAGCAGGACTTCATCATGCTCTTTGGAGAAGACATCTCGGGGAAGTTCATTGCAAGATGGCCAACGTTCTACAAACCGAAGGTCATCACTGTCAGCAAAAGCCTTCGACAGAGTGTTCACCTGGATGACCTTCTGTCTGCTCAGGAGGAATCAAGTGATTATGGTATGTATTAATAGATAAACATGTTCAACAGTGTGCATTTTCATATGGTAATTCTAAACATGGCTTGTGTTATGATTTTATCAGAATGGGATAGCGACGTGGCAGCCATTCTCCTGCTGGTTCATCTCTTGCCTCCAACCGCCAAAGGGAGGAAACATGTAAAAATTAGTGCAACTGAGGCAGCTGATCGTGTTGTGAAGTTTATGAAGGTATGTTTTTGACATGAATTGTGCTTCACTTAAAGTAAATTGATCTCAGTTTTATAAACGGTATAATGTAAAGTCATTATTTGTTATTTGTATTATAAATTTATAGCTATTTTTGGAGTGGGGGGGAGGGATCAGGGTTAATTTTATGACAAAATTGGTTGTGGGAACATAATGGCACAAAGAATTGTATGAGCCCATTAGAAGCAATCTTTTCACTTAAGCTTACAACAGTTTTCTTGCAAGTCACATCCCCTTTTGTGGCATGTTCACAGCTAAAGGAAGGTGGAAAGTGTTCTTAATTTGTTGCTTGTGAAGGGACTAAAGCCATTTTTTCTAATGTGTCTCAATCTTAGGTGGGGACAAGCATGGCGACATTCCTTGGCAAAGTTGGATCTGCACAGCTGTTCCTCCTCTGTGTTGGAGAAAAGAAGAGCAGTATTCAGAAGTTCTACATCATCCTGGATCAGAAGCCCATTCCTTGTGTGGCACAGACTGCAGTGGCTGCCTTCGATGAACTGTTTAAGGCGCACTTTGTGTTTGCTATGTCCTACGATGCAGCCCTCCTCAACTTCTACACATTCATCCAAACAACAGTTTATGGGATTGATGTGACAACAAAGGAGAGCCCCAGAGTCAAGGAAATCAGAGTGAGAATTAACAACACTTAAGTATACCAATATGTTACATTTGTAAGGTTCAGCACAGAAATTCTTCTAATCTTTTTCAGCATTTGAAATTTAGTCATTCTTTGTATCCACGGCACAAATTGCGTTTGAAATGTGGGGAACATAGTTGTTCACCTGTTTTTTACACATATTCTGGGTTCAAGTAGCACTTGATGAAAGCACATGGAGAAACTATTGCCATAGATTCTGTTTATGTGGACAATGTTGGTACAGATAGTGTTGAGACCGATGATCATCTGAATGCTTTCAGAATAGAGATGATGTGTTTGCTGTTATTTGTGTCTTTGATCTGATATATTATCAGACTTATGACAGGCAGTTTTCAGCTGATGAAAGAACATATATTATGCCCCACTGCTGTTTTGTATAAGCTCTGCATTGAAGGTCTGTAATATTGAAATGGGTTTAATAAAAGGTAAACTTTCCATTTCTGTGTATTGTTTTGAATATTTTTCTACTGGATTTGGTTGATATTGACACCTTGTGGGGTCAATTATTTACCTTTTTAACACCACATTATGTTTTGCGATCAACACTACACTGGTGTTACTTTTAACATTATATTTTAACACTAACACCGTTGTAATGTTAATGTGACACTCGCTATTGTTGAATATTAACAATATCTGGTGTTAATTTAACAAAAAAATGGGTGTCAATCTTTTAACACTTTCAAAAGTGTTACTTTAACACCAGCTGACTTGGACACATATACACACTTTGTTGGTGTTAAAATTAACACTGTGGGTGTTAATTCAGCACCGGCATTTTTACTGTGTAG